GCCCTGAATGCCAGCTACCGCAGCAGGATAGATCGCAGTAACACAGGCGAGTCCAAACGTATCAGAAGGATCTTTTGTTCTTCGTGTCAGATTCCCAGATAATGCCATGTCAGATTGGAGGTTTGGGGTGGTCTTTTCCTCTCCCCTCTCTCCAGGTCTGCGTCGTCTCTAGGACACCGAACGAGGTGGAGTGAAGACCACGCTTACGCACTTGATTCCTTGCTCGCGACTGGATAGATTATGAACTAAAGCTGTTCAAGGGAAAGTGGAGTAGATCAAGGTGGTGGTAAATGTGGACAGAGATGAAGGGAAAGCGTGGTAATGAGGCAAAGGAAATGCTGGCTTTACCAGCTCTGGCTGCCTTGTACTTTAGGAGACCCCACCAGAGGTGTAACAAGGCCACCAGGCACTGGGGCAGTCGGACGCATGGGGGCAGCAGCAACTGGTGGTGCAATGTGCAGATGTTAGCTTTGCCTTCCAGCCCCGTAAGTCAGAGCCTGGGGCTCCTGGGTGCCACCCTTGGAAGTTTGTTTAGCAGTTAATGCTGATTTAATGGTTGGGAACATTTGTTGTGCTCATCATGGGTCTTCTCACCATCTGTCCTCGTGAACCCTCCTTTGTAGGTTTAGCATCTTAATTTAGCTTTTAGAAGAATCCTTTCTAAATCTTAGCTAAGCTTTACCCTTTCTTAGCTGCTGGCTGGGCAGCTTTACAGCATGTTCTGCACTGGGAGTTGTCCCATCTGTTGGGATTTCAGCTGAATGAGTGGGTGAACTTCAGGTCTTAGTGACCTGTTGTAATCAAAAAAGAGTGGTTTTTCTGCCCCACCCTAAATTCTTTAAGTAAAACTCTCTTCTCCCCTATCTCCTCCCAACCATAGCCTCAGTCTACTTCCTTGCCACTGTTTTCTTTTAAATATCGTGGTTGTTTGCCAGCTGGTATTCACAGTCTATCACATTTTGGTTTCTCCTGTTGAAAGAACAAAACCGTTTTTTGTTTTGCTTTTGTCTCATAACTATTTTAATCTTTTTTCAGTTGAACCTTTTCAGTTCAATAGTAGATTTTTTATCAGCCAGATGATAGCATCAGTTGTGCCTGTGCGGTATCATTGACAAGGCTGTGCTGGCTAACAAGGTTGTGTGTAGTTGGGAGGGGGAAGGAAGTGTCAAGCTGTCATTAATTGTGACTAGGCATGCCTTAAAATAGTAACAGTTAGCTTACATACAGGGCAATAGGTCGATCTAGTCTTAACCCTCTGTCTGAGGTAGGATCATCTCTATCCAAACCATCTCTTATAGATCCATGTCTAACCTACTAGTAAAACTACAGTCAACCCTGATGCAACCACAACACCATAACACCCTAATGTGACACAGGTAAAGCAGGGGGACAATAGTAGCCCATATCCTGCTGCTACAAGAGTTGTTAAAATATGTTTAAGAAGTTCAAGGAAGAGGGATATAACTCCTCCTCCTCCCCCCCACC